GGGTACGTGTATGGCGATATGCATGCAGAAAAGCGGGGAAACATCAAACGTGGGGTGTCAAACTTTGGCTAGCGAAAGGTCATGGGTTTCTGTGTTCGTCGACTTTGCTTCATATGGGCGGTTTACTTAATTCGTGGTTATCGCAGATGCCTTATGTTCCCTTTTTCTTCGAATCAACTCACGCATGTGTTTGAATCATATTTTGGATGCGTTTCCTCTTGTTATACTCTTTATCCAATTACTCGTACCATTCACCAAAGCAATGGCTTCAGGTCTCACGCCTCGATCACGTTTATCTGTTGTTTATAGGGCGATCTGCAGCCTAGACATGTAGCAACGAAGTCAACATTGTTATCCCATTTGACTTGATGTTAGAAGACCTACTACTGTTTTACGGCTCCAACATGAGAAAAAGAAAGTTTCAGTCTGTTCTTTGTATATCTTTTTTCTTATATTACTAAGAAAAAATAATCACATTAGATCAACGTGTGAGCAGGCTGAGATCTAACAACTCTTGCGAACCACTATTAGCCAGCCTTGTCAAACTCGCACGTATAATTCTGTACCTTGTACACCAAAGAAGAAGACCTGCCTCGGTTTTAAATGTAGTTAGCATTATCTGAGACTCGGAGGGTGGCATGTGAGGTGGTGTTCTAAAAGGGTCATTCACGCAGGCCATGTGAAGTAGGGAGAGTGTCTATACTCTTTCTTCTTCCCAACTTGCCTCAATCGGTGGCATGCAGTGGGGTTTAGTACCTCAGATGATGATGCTTGGCGGTTGTAGCCATGGCTTTCCCTCAGCATACCAACAAATGTGTCCCACTGACCACTCCAGCTTTTCAACGGGAAGGGAGAAGACCATCATCTTTGGCAAGCCATCTTATTAGACTGACGAGATTCCCCCACTTGTGAACAGTATTCTATTGGAAACTGCAGTAGGAGATGCATTTGTTTTGCCTTCTTTCTTCTTTCCTGGGAGGGTTCAGGCAATTATTCTGTGGCTGAGAGCCAGCCGACGGTCCTCGGTCGCCTCTTGAACCGTCCCTGTTGTTACTCTCATAACACAGTAATCGACTGTAACAGGTGTGACATGAAACCGATGCATGAATTAAATTCGTTTCCTTCTATTCCTCTTTTCTGGGGTACACGACTGCTGTAGATCATTTATAGGGTGTTGAAACGCCGAGTGTTAGAAGTTGGATAAAGATACGTAAATTTCCTTCGATACCGATGATGTGGAGGGACTCCATACACCACGCGTGGCAGAGACAGGGCGTGCATGACCTGGGGCGACGCGTCGATAAGATGGCAGTACATGTGGCAGCACCATTATGGATGACCTTGTTAATTTAAGACATCGAAGAGTCCGGACTTATGTAGTCGCTGCCCAGTCGCCCATCGTCTCCTCCCACGAAAAAAGCCTTCTCTTGGGCTCGTTTCGGTCGCTTGCAGAGAGCAGGAAGAATGGGCCTTTTGGAACACGTATCTGAGCTTTGCTCCGTCTCCAGAAGTCGCAAAAAGCTCAAGAAGAACAAGCAGTTGCAGGTGAGCATCGTAATGACTATGTACTCTTTTTCTCATGTTGTTGTTCATGTGAAGTGCTAACAGCGCGGGTTGAACTATTGATCGACTCAGACGGTAGAGTTGAAGGTGAGAATGGACTGCGAAGGGTGCGAGAGGAGGGTCAGGAAAGCCGTGGAAGGCATGAAAGGTCTCGTCTTTCCTCTTTGTACTGTGTAGTATTTCCGAGCGTGTCGTTCGGAGGGATTGATGGTTGATGTCTGTTAAACAGGAGTGAGCAGCGTAGAGATCGAGCCGAAGCAGAAAAAGGTCACGGTGATAGGGTTCGTGGACCCGAAGAAAGTAATAAAGAGGGTGGAGTGGAAGACGGGGAAGAAGGCGGAGCCGTGGCCGTACGTGCCGTACGACGTCGTGCCCCACCCCTACGCGCCGGGGGCCTATGACAAGAAGGCGCCGCCCGGGTACGTGCGGAACGTGTTGGACGACCCCGACGCGGCGCCGCTCGCCCGCGCAAGCTCCACGGAGGTGAAGTACACGACGGCGTTCAGCGACGACAACCCCAACTCCTGTACTATTATGTGAAGTCTCTGCTACTCCCAATGGAAGAAGAGGGGGAGAGAATTTGTAGAATGCTTCCGTTTGTACGCATGTAGATATTGGGTAGAGATGTGTCTGAGGATTGTCCGGTGTTTGTTGAATGAATGTATTTGGGTGTTGTTAATATTGAGTTTAAATTGGATGAGTATTTGGAGGAACAGTTTGGTATGTGAATTGGGTTGATTCAGATGTCGAGCACGTCCTTGAATTCGTGTTTCTTAACTCTGGATTGGTGAGCTTCCATGAGTTGATGTGGTATGCGACTCCCCATTGTGATGGAATTTAATGCTTCCGGACGATATATAAATAATTCGTCCTTGTCTTGAAGACTTTCGGGTCTTCTGAAAAGTCGTATCGTGCTTCCATTGGATTGCCTTGAGACGATCACATGGGTCGTCACTGTCCGACCATTGTGGCGTTTCATTACCAATGGGTTTCCCATCTCATCTTCTCTAATCTCTCTCATTCACAGCCTTTCATCCCTTTTGACTTTGGATCTCACTCGATTACTTTACTGGCCCCTCAGTGGTCGCTTTCGGTTCTCTTTCTCACCACCATCGTTTGCTTTGCTCGCCATTACTGTGTTCACTGTTGTTATCCTATTGACGTAAGGTGCTCGCCGCTATCGACTCTTTGCGGTGCAAACATCATTAGCACGACTGTTCATCATTAGCATGACGTAAGGTTCATCGTTCTTGCCAAAAGGAAATTAGAGCACAAAAGATCGGCACTAATTGAATGTGGAATAATTCTTTCCCTCTTTGTGTATCAAAATAGGTTCCTCATCAAAATACCAACTTGATATCCAAATGAAAATATCAATC